AAGGACAACCATAATATTATATATGCACAACAATACAACAAATTTCACCTATTTAGGATCTTAACCAACCCCATCCATACCCTACCCATACCCAAGAAAAAGGCACCAAATAAGGAAAAAAAGAAAAGAAAAGAAAAGGAGAGAGCTACAACCTAATTAGCATATGATCCTGAAGAGCCCCCTCGTATGTCTAACAGCCGCCCGACGGTGCTTCCCTACAATCTCATATCACAATTAAATATTTGTCTTCAAAGAGCAGCATTTCCCGTAACTGAGAGAACTCACTGGATGCTGTTCACTAACTTGTCAAATTTCTGTGCAATTGCATGATGCTTCCTCCAATTGTACAATTGAATTAGCGACCCAATTGCGTTACGTATCATCTCTTTCTTCGGATTCTCAATGAACTTATCGTTTTCAACTTCCGCTTGACAACTTGTCTCTCCTAGTGACGAGCACAGTGCCTTGAACCAATCTTCAAGGAATGAGGCTTTCTATATGCAGCAGAAAGAAAAATGAGTGAGAAACAGACAAAAGAAAAACTCATACCTAAGTTTCCACACACACTATATGGATCAGGTTAATTTAATGTACTCATAAGAAACACTTACTTTCACAAGAAAATCTTTGACGGGTTCATGATCAGAGCTTGAAGCGAGGATAAGAACATGCAGCATGGTTGAGGTCAACTGAACCAGGCACAAGAAAAAACTATTAAAACACATCATATACCTCAGGCTCACACACACACGCGCACATGTAACCAAAATGAATGGTTTTGACCAACATTAACCCATATATCTGCTCAGGTGCAAATGATTCAGATTACTGACCTGCTTTTCAAGTGCAACTCTATATTTGAAATTTGATGGTGATGCAATATGGTCTGAACCTTGATTCTCTAATATATGCACCAGACCCTGGATGACATCGGAGAAGGATTCCCCATAATCTGCAACACAAACCAATAGCCTTCTATTTCAATTTCCATAATTATTTATTTTTGGAAACGATCAATTTCTAGATTTTATGAAGGAATGATTAAAAAA